GTATATTAGATATTAGATATATCTTAATTAAACAAGCAAATATGAAAACAAAAATAGTTTTTAGAAACTTTGCTAGCAAATACTTAGAAACAAGCAAAATATCTCTCAAATGGAAAGTAGAATGAATCTTATCTAATACCTAAGAATATAGATTAGCAATTTAATCTGAGTAATATAAGGCCAATAGCACTTTTAGAAACATTTAAAAAATATATTACAAAAGTTTACACAACTAGGTTAAAGAGAATAATAAGAGAGAACAATATATTAGAAAGCTTTAACTTTGTAGAACTAATAGGAAGCTTAATAGAAAGCCTAATACATATCTTAAGCATTATAATAGAAGAAGTAAGAGAAAAAAACAAAGAGTTTTGGATAATATTACAAAATATAAAAAAAGTATTTAATTTCATAAGTCTAGGTTCACTTAAGCTAGCACTTCAAAAAATAAAAATACTAGTATTAGAGCAAAGTTTTATACTAGATTTGTTTGATAAAAAGTAAACTAGAATAAACACTGTTTTAGATTTTATAGATGCAATAACTACAGATAATAGAATTAAGCAAGAAGAAGTAATCTTATCTCTAATATAGAGAATTTTCTATGATTTTCTTTTAATTAAGATTAAAAAGAGTACTAAGCTTGGTTATGAGATAAGAGTTTCTTGATAAGAAGACCTTGAAAAAAAAAAAAAAAAATACAAAAAGTAAAACAAGTAGTAGTTATCTTCACAGATAATATAACATGGATAGTAAGCTCAAAAGAGCAGCTTGAAGAAACTATTAAAGTAGCAAAAGAATTCTTTAAGATTAATTAATATTTAGATAAACCCTTCCAAATCTAAGCTTATTGTAATTAATACAAAAACAAGACTAGAAGAATATAAAGTTTTAGTTAATAGATAGAAAGTATATGCAACTAATAAAAAAAAAGCAGTGAGATTTCTAGAGATTTGAATAGATTATAAAATCAGAAAAAAATAGATAGTAGCTAAGACAAAACAAATAGCTAGACTCTTCACTAATACAATTAAGAAAAAAATAGTTTCAACAAGACAAGTATTATATATAAATAATATATATCTAATGCTAAAGCTAGAGTAAATATTACAAAGTACTATACTAACTAAAGATGAATATAAAAAGATTCAGCAACTATATACAATAATTGCTAAAATTAAAATAGATCTGACAAGAACTATTTTAAACTTTATAATATTATATAGTAGGATTCTAAATATGTAAATGCTATAGAATACTCTGAAGACTAAGCAAACATTAAGTCTTATAAATAGACTAAATAAGATTATAAAGTTAAAGAGATCACAGAGATAAGAATAAGACAAGGACAACAAATAATCTGCTATACAAATAGTATCTAAGCTAAAAAGCTAGATAAGATAGAAGTTAAGTTATTCAAAAACAATTTAATAAGCTTAGTTATTCAAAGCAATCTGAGTTTAGATATTAAAATAATAGCTAACAAGGAACTTTGAAATACTAAAGCAATTGGCATACTAATTAAAAATTTAATGAAAAAGAATACATTTATTAAAGTAGCAAAAACACTCTGTAATCTAGATTTAGTACTACTTGATTAAATTTTAAATATCAAAGGCTCTTATCTAATGATATAGTAGCAACTAAAGATATCTAGAAAAAAGTTAAAAAGAGGCAAAAAAGTAATATAGTTTAAGGAAGTAAAGAAAAGAGTACTAGTTAGTAAAGAGAAGAGAGAAGTTAAAGAAGAATATAGAACAGGTATAAGAAATTGCTTAGGAGTGCAAAACATACTAGAAAAAATCTTATTAAAAGAAAACAGGAGTAGATCATATATGAAGATAGTTATAGCAAAAGCAGAAAAATAGATCATATGCAAAAGAAAAAAGAAGATAGTATACTAGTAGAGCACTGAGAAAATCAAGAAGATACAGAAAGATACAAAGAAATAAGAAAATACAAGAGCTACCTAAGTAATAAAAAAAGTGTATATAAAAAGTGTAGAGCTTAGCAATCAAAAAGAAAAGTCTTAAGCATAATTTCAAAAAACTGTATAAATAAAATGACTAATCTGATAAACTTTTCACTAAAAACAATAGCTACAAGCCAAGATATATATCAAGAAACTAAGAGAAATAAGCTAGCTTTGGTTGGATATAGAATAGTCAAAGAGTATAAACTAAAAATAATAGAAGTACAGAATCTAGACAAAGAACTAGTAGCAATATTAAAAGAAAAAGCATGAGAGATAAGACTAAAAAGAGAAGAAAAAATAAATTTCTATACAGATGAATTTTTAGATAAAGGTGAAGAAAAAGGAATTATAGGAGTAGAATAGTTAGAAATAGATAAAATAGATTATAGTTTAGTTAGCATAAGAAATTTTAAAGTTGTTAACTAGCTAATATTTACTAAAGCAGAATTATTAGGAATTTGAATAGTACTATTATTAGTATAATGTAATATAATAGTTAGAGTTCTCACAGATAGCAAACAAGCAATAGAATATAAAGAAAGCTTGTAATACTAAGTAATATAGCAAATAAATTAGAATAAATAATAGAATAATCCTAGAAAAAATAGCAATACTTATTAAACAAAAAAGTATAAAGCTCAAATTAAAAAAAGTTAAAAGCTATGCTAGCAATAAATAGAACAATAAAGCAAACTGATTAGCTAAAGAAGAGAGGAAATTATATATAACTCTTGATTTAAATATAGTTAAAAATAATAATTTTAGCAATGATATAGTATAGAAGTTAAATAGAATTGAGAGCTTAGTGAAGAATTTCATAACTAAGCTAACAAAAAGATATAATAATACAGAGTGAACCTATTAAAGAAAAGATAATCTAGCTAAAAGCAATAGGTATAACTAGAAAAAGCTATAGCAAAGAATCAAAAAACAGAGAAAGATAAACTGCTTTTTGATGAAAGATAGCAAAAGTCTAGCTATACAGATTAAGTATCTAACAAATAGCTTACTAATATTCAGTAAGCTTAAAAAGTGTAAACTAGAATTATACTAAAAAGATTATTGTATCTTATGCAAAGAAGGAGTACTTGAAGATTTTAATCATTTAATACAATGTTCTGCTTTACAAGAATATTAGAAAGAAATTGAAAAGATAGTATTAGAAGGTATTAGTAAGGTTCAAGCTAAAGAAAACTCTAAACTACTTCTGTTACTAGAAATTAAAGAAACTATCTTTTCAAAAGATGAAGAGAGTAGATATCAAAGAAGAAAAGAGCTACTAATTAAACTTGAAGAAAAGAAAATAGCTAATGATCTTCAGATATTAGCTTAGGAAAAAGATATGATGAAAACTTGATTAGATAGTATCTTTTTTATTTTACAAAAAAGCTTTGCAAAAATAATATAGAATTGGTGATATGAGAAGGTAATTCTATAAGAAAAACAAAAAGAGATCATGACAAAGTTTAAAAGAAGTATAGAAAGGAAAAAGAAAGCAAAAGTGAGAACTTAAACAAATGAAGAAAAGAAAGTATTATTTGTAGAAAAAAGAAAGGAAAAAGAGAGAAAAAAAAATTAGATAGAAGTATCAGTAGAAGAAGCAGTTAAGGAAGGAATAAAAAGAAGAGAAGGAATTTAGTAGAGTTTTCTTTGATATAGTTAGACAAAATTGTTCTAGCTATATGGCTAGTATAACAGGTTATTCCTGAGCATTCTAGTAGCAGCTAGATGATATCAAGCTTAAGAAATTAAGTAGATTGTATAATCATATGTAACTTGGCTATAATTATAGTTAACAACTTAATAAAGTTTATAATATGACTATTAAAGAAAAAAAAAATAGGACTAGAAAATTTAAAATAGATAATCTTCTAATAGATTTCAGATATAGTAACTAGTGTAAAATCTTTAAGTAAACTACTTAAATTAGATAATCTAAAATTATATATATAGTTAGTTGTACTCTCACAATATATATTATGTTCCTTAATTAAAAACTAATAAAGTTTAACCTATAAAATAAAATAAAATAATTATAAATAAATAATTAGAATACTAAAGATTTACAATTCTTATTTTTGTATAAGTATAATATTTTTACATTTTATTACTTACTTTTTGTTAGAAAAAATATTTGATTTATTTTGTTTTCTTTTTTTTTTCTCTTTTACTTGTAAGAATTTTTTAATCTAATAGCAGATTTTTTTTTTACAAATTAAATTCATATAATACTATAATTTGTAGCAAATAGTATATTCTTATTAGTATACCTCTCACAATTTGTACTAGGAATTAATCAAGTATATATTATAAATATAATTGTAAAAGACCTAAGTATATCTAAAACATATATTGATTAGTTAAAATTTTTGAGGCTCTGATTGGTTCTAATTCATTTCACCTCGAGTTATAATCTTAAATATACTTTATATTTATTCTTGAAATTTATTATAATAGATTATTTATCAATTTAATTATCTCTTAATAAAAAAAAAAAAAATTGATTTTTTGAATAAAAAAGTTAAAAATAAGCTTTCAAACTCTATTTAAAAAATACTATGTTTTTGACATTTTGGAGGAAGGAAACCTATAATAAAAGTTAAAAGAAACTTAATACTAGCATAAATAATATCGATCTAGTAGTTTAGCAATTAAAATCAAAAAAATTTTATATTATTTGATTCATCCTAATCAGACGAATCGAATAGTACTAAAATTTTTTTGATTTTGATTAGTATATTGCCATCAAAAAACATAAGTATGTCGCAATACCCATATGTATCATAATATCAAACTTATCCTTATATTTTATTCATTATATAAAAATTAAAATTAATAACAAAATGTAGTATTTTTTTTCAATTTAAAGCAAGTATATATGTTTGAATGTCTTTATTAGACTTGAATTTCTAAAAATTTTTTTTTTTTAAAAAAAAAATCATGATTTTTTTTTTACTAAGTTGGTCTCCAGACCATCTAAATTTGTTGAAGGTTTTTAAAGCCAGGAGTTAGAATAATTCTCTACCTCCAAATCATTATAATGCTCGTCAAAATTTTTATCACCAAAATCTGAAATAAAATTATTTTCAGAAGATTGACCAAAGCCTTCATCATTATCACAACTTTCTATCAATTGATTTGACCCTTCATAGTTTTTATCCGATTTACTAGACCCTTCATGATTTTCAACCGATTCATTAGAATTTTCTTCTTCACTAAAAATATAAGATGTAGAACTGTTCGCTTTTGAGAAATTATAATCAAAAATTTGTATGTCTTCAGAACCATCATGATTATTTGAAATTCCACAACACTTAAACGCAAGTCTAATAAGTGTTAGATCAATATCATCCCAAACTTTTTTAACCCATTATGCAATAACATTATAAGCAGGCTTCTGAATTCATCCTGTGGGTGTTAGCTTCTTGACTTCTTTATTCATCTATTTACTATAAAATTTACGAACCTATATATATATATTAAATAATCAATACTTAAGTTGTAAGAAAAAAAAAAAATCATATAAATTCAATAGCTGATAGTCATTTTTCTGATAATTCTCTAACATTCTCAATAAATAAAGGTCTGTGAATAAAGATGTGACCACAATGTTGTAATTGGTCATAATTATAATAAATTACGGCATTTGCTGTAATTCATTATAATTATAACCAATTACAACATTGTAATCACATCACTATTAGTGAATTCACTAGTACCTTGTCCTTAAATGATTTATTTATAGCAACGTTCAATGGTTACAATTGAGAAGTTAATCCGCTGCGAATTACTGCCAAGTTAGTTTTTTTTTTCTTTAAATCATTATTTAACTGAATCCTCAAAATGACCATGAAATAAATCAAGCTTTAACAAAGAACGTGGATCAACAGAATGAGGTGCATGGTAGTTCCACACATTCTCAATCCAAAATAACATTTCATCAGTGTTTATCCAACCTTTTTGATTAGTTCTAATTTTTACTCCCATTAGAAATTCAAGCCGTGATACATTTTTAAGTTTAAAAAGAATTAGAGGGAGTAATTTAGAACCATCTGACATACAACCAAGAACAACTATAAAATTCGATTTTTCATATCTACAGGTTCTAATACTAATACTGCGAGCTCCAGTTTCATCAATTGTAAAATTGTTTGGCAAGTCAAATGAGAGTAGTGTTTCATCCATATTACTGATTAGATTTAAAGAGTATTCATATTTCATTCGTTGAAAAAGAACAAAACTTAAAAATTCCTGCTGCTTTTCATCATAGTCTTCAGGTAAATGTTGTGAGACAGTGATGCGGCATCAATTACTCAAATTATAGTAGTTCATAAACCCATCTAACCATTTATAACTCCATTGAAAGACTGAAATATCAGGATATAGTAATAAAAACCTTTGTGTTCGTGTCAAAGTTTTCGCTTTAACTTGGACCATGTTATATATAACAACTTTAAGTTCAGCTCACAATGCACGTATCCA